TATGGGTTGAATTATTGGGGTGGGCTACTTACGTCGCCCCGGAAAGGATTCCGGTGCTCGTCTGACTAGATCACGAAATTTCTCTAACCAGTGTCATCCCAATTTATTTATTATTTGCCATTGTATTCCACGTATTATTTAGTTGTGTTGTTTAATATCGATTATCACCATTTAAAGAAATAAAAATAATGTGACGCCCATGTCCTTTATTTGTTCGGTGTATGCCGACTAGATGTTTTTTTGGTGTTTCAATTCGGATTAAAAATACAAAAATTGAAGTAGGAACATCGGAGAATAGAACTGGAATGAACAAAAACTCAAGCTATAGAAATATCACTAGCACATCTGGAAAAAGAAATCAGATTTTGAAGTGAAACTTCTTAGGCGGCAGCGGTCTGATATTTGGACGAAAATAGGCAGAATAGAGAGTGATTTGGAAGACGCGTCACGTTCAGGCCCAATTTTTTACACAAAAGAGAAGAAAGATATAACGTAGAGAGACGGAGAAAGACAGGAAGCGTCACATTTTGGCAAATTTCTTCACACGAGTGAGAAGAAAGATATAACGTGAAGAGCTCGGTAAGGAGACAGAGAAAGACAGCCATATATTTGGGGTGTGACGATACTTGACAATGATAGCCGATGAACGATTGACACAAACTAGGGATTATAAGAAGAGAGGATTGCCTATTATTGTCAAGCGCTGATACCCTTGTGACGTCACTACAGATGCGCGTCTTCCTTTTTTCTGGTCTTTCGTCTTTACCCCGACTCATACGCTAATCTAAAAGTTGTATGATGGGGGAATAGTTGTTAAGAAGTTTCACTTCTCAATACGTGTACGATGCTGAACATGATTTTTTTTTCAAGCCCGAAACATAAGTATGCATGCTGTTCAGAAAATCTGGCCTGAAACTCTATTGAGTGATAAACATAAAATTAATCACGCCAGGAATTCTAATGAAAAGGATAATATAAAAATAGGTTGGTCAAGATATTTTGTTTTCAATCAAGCACATTTCTTATGGAAAAGTGATCTATGTGGAATTTTGCTGAATTTTTGATATTGTGTATAGGGAGTCGTCCTTAACAAAAGTGGTCATTGCGCTAATGTTGAATACCCAACAGTTTTCAAGATATCTATTAAAAACTTTTTTAATTTGACACTCTTCAGTATGACGTCACCAGTATGCTCACAGCACCGAAAATTAGAACTATCCTTTTCACTTTTGACTTTGACTACCTATACTTATACTCTTCTCCTTTTAACATTTAGGAAATAGAAAAAAACAACAACAGGTACAAATGAAATCGCTATATGACAGACATCATGACATGAAGTTGACGATTGCGGCAGGTGCTAGGTGTTGTTTACATACCTACCTATTTGTCACTAATCGCTATCGCTATCTTTTTTTTTCTTAATGTTAAAAGGAGAAGAGTGAAGTCAAAGTCAAAAGTGGAAAGGATAGTAATAATTTTCGTTGCTGTGAGTGACGTCATACTGAAAAAATACATAAATCTACGCTTTCGTAAGTATTCGGTGCATTCGCTATGGCTTCTTTGGTTGCAAAACGTTTGATAAAATTAACAGAGTGATGTGACAGGTGCTGTGTTACCTAAAACTCCAGTAGAGGCAAATGGGGTCGTTAATTTAATGAAACTTGTTCGACTATCACTTTTACAATCACCAAAGACACATCGCTTCATCGCCTCTCGATAAAACATATCACGTTCTCCCAAAACTGCCATAATTATTAAATTTAAGCCCAAAATTGAAAAAAAAATTAATAACATTGACAATGCTATTTATAGGTTATGTGACTTTGTTTGTCGTCATTCATAATGAAATCTTCTATTGATATCTTGAAAACTGTTGGGTATTGAACATTAGCGCAATGATCACTTTTGTTAAGGACGACTGCCTCTACACAATATCAAAAATTCAGCAAAATTCCACATAGATCACTTTTCCATAAGAAATGTGCGGGGTCGCATTGTTGTACAGACACTCCCTTCCAACAGAATCAGGTATGAACAGCTATTGCAAGTTGAAAAAAAAGGAAAATATTTTAATATTAAAAAAAAAAAATACAATTAAATAATTGAGAATAACGGAAAGATAATATTGAAATTAAAATAATAACAAGATTAAATTAAAATGCTCGGTATGATTAAGCAAAAATGCTGCTTTCCTGACAGCAGCTCTGGCAGGCAAAAATATGAACAAAATAAGGTAAAACAATAAGAAATTAAATCTTTGGATTCTCCTCCAAATAGACAAAATTTTCCTTTCAAATTAAGGTAGCAGGTAGCTACTTATAGATACTACAAGATAAACCTGGGGTTGAAATTAATCAAATCCAGAATATGTCAAAATTCTTGACATGTTTTAATTAAAACGTTTTAACTGAATTTTTGACCTGTCTGGATTTCTATTAAAAGAAATTACCCCCTTTATTCGAGATAATTATTGACGGAGTCAAACAGAAAATGGCTATTCAGGCCTCTTCCTGGATAAAGAGTTGATAGGGATGGACCATAGACAATAAAAAATAAAGACCTTCAAAAGTATAGCCGAAATAGGTTATACTATTACTGCGCATCCGGTTGCGCATAGCGCATTGCGGAATTTTTGGAAAGCTAGAGACTTACAAAAGATCATTCCGATCATTTGATCCTGTTTCATCTTTCTCTGTCATACCAATTCACAAGACAAGGACACCGTATGAGTTACAGAGCTTTCCTAGCTGTTTTGTAGAAACCTATCAAACATCCATAACTATAGAAACTGTGACCGAGAAAACAAATAAGTAATCTTAAAATAACGACATTTCCGTAATATTACCTTGCATTTTTTGGGACTTACACATTTCCGTGTTGAAATTTGTCATTTTTAACCGTTTGGCTTTCGTCTAAGAAGACTCGAACTCACAAAATCTAAAGAACAAAAAGAAAAAATTGTCATTTTTATTAAAGCACTCGGTATCGCGTACCTATAATATTATGTACAACTAGGATAAACTGAACCAGTAAGTATACATGTTAGTTTTGTAATATACGGCATATTTTTTCACTGTTTTAGGAGACCTCAGTCAGAAGAGATAAAATGTAGATGTTAGGCCTTGGCCAGCTTAGCTTGTACATACATTAAAGCATGTATAAGGGATGTAATAACTGTGTTTGTAAACTCTTTAGGTATTTGATCTATCTAGCTATAATATATATTTTTTCTAGTAGATACAATTTAGTGTTTATTTTGCCTTTTTTTTTAATCTACATCAAAAAATGGCACAAAACTTTATGGAGTACCACATCATTTTTCTCATTCCGATTTGAGAAAAAAAGATGTGGAACAACATAAGTAAGTTTTTTGTGCAATCAACTCAAGTCAAATTTCAAAATTCCCGCCATTTCAGTATTATGTTCCGGCTGCCACTATTGACGCCACCGTCGCTGTGACGTAGCGCTATACAAACTTTCATGTTATCAATCAGGTACTCTTACCTTGGTTTATTATATTTCTCTATGGGATGGACACACAAATTTGGTTTTTCACCGACTCTATTTAGAGCAAATGGTCCAATATTCCTACACTAACAATTGATTTTGAAAATCAGAGCAGCAGTACCTTTTTAAAATTCAAAATCTGAGTTGACTTACCTCAAAAAAAAAAAAAACGTGGCACAACTAATCAGCACTCACACAAAATGGAAGCCAATAAATAGATAAAAAAAATTGAAATATTATATTTATATTTCAAGAATAGATAAGATAAGATTTATCAGGTAAAAACTTAACAATGATACGATAATATGCATTGATAGCAAAATATATTGAAAAATCTATAAGGGAGAATCCAAAATTTGAGATCAAAAATTATTAAAAATAAAAACGCCTTGCCTGCCAGACTTCTGTCAACGAAAGAGCGTTTTAAAAACCAAAGCTCACAGGAAAACGATCTTGTGTTTTTTATACTTAACTGCATTTTAACCAGTTGGACCAGTCAGACGAGTACACCCAAAAGATCATAAGGTAATGTCAAAAATAAAAAAACTGTTAATTAATTAGGTCATTAAGCCAAAAAATTATTATTTCAGACTTAGAAGTTAGAAAAAGACAGAAATATATCCATTTGCTAAAAGTGAGATAAATATAATTTCTTTCAATGAAAATACAAATGACTGTCAAATGCGAAATAATTAAAATCATACTTTGAAAAATAAATCCATCAGGTACTAGATGGCAGTACTGGTAAATGAATAAAAGATATTTACATTTTACGCAGATGATGGATAGATGGCAGTACTTGTACTATTTTGAACTTTGTGGATATTTTTGTAATTATTATTTTACTGATTCTGAAATGGAAAAAATACAACTTTATAATGAAAATAAGAAGAGATGGAACATGTTACGTAAATGATAAATTACCGTAAAACATGAGTTACAAAATTCAAATGTGCCTACTGGGGAATATATTATGAAGTTTGAAGAGTTTTTCTTCGGTAATTACAACACGCTGCCTGGGCTTGGAAATTTATTTAAAATTATTGGTTTATTTTAATAATATTTCATAATTTTGAAAAACGACAAAACATCAATTGGTTACAGACCTGCAAGGAAACTTCCAGATTTATCGTACTATTTAAAACGATACGGACGTATTTTTATCGCTCTGCAGATTTTATTAAAATAAAAGTAGTAAAAGTGCGATTTTTTTCGCGTTTTTTTTTTTTTCGCCAAGTTGAGATTTTGTGTCGGCTAACAAGCTGTATTAATTTGAAGTCAGTACTGTAATTAATTGGAAGAAAATCAATCAAGTTACAAGGATATGGGTGTATTCACTGATCGACAAAAAACCGAGCTAAAAACCATTATTTCCGAGGTATTGGAGAACACATTTAAAAATAAAAGTTTTTTTTGATAACCTTGCTGATAAGCTGTGCTGGAGAATATCGGACGAGATAAATAAAGAAATAAACAATATAAAAACTAAGCAAGAGGTATTGGAGAAGAACATAAAGATGAAAACACCAAAATTTTGTCCAAGCTGGATGATGTGGAGCAGAATATGAAGGAAAATCAACTTCGAGTGTATGGTGTTCCCGAAAATACTGCTAATGTCAATGAGCACCTCAAAGGCATCTTTGACACGAAATTGGAGTTGAAAAACATTCACATTGAGTATTCCTACAGGATTGGGAAAAGTAGTAACGAAACGATAAAGCCTAGACCTGTTCTTGTCAAATTTGGAAATACTTTTGACAGGAATCAGGTATTTTTCAACAAAAAGAAGTTCAAAAATTCTAGCATCTCAGTTACAGAGGAGCTTACCAAGAAAAGATACGAATTACTTATTTTTACTAAAGGAAAATTAGGAAAGGAGAAAGTTTGGACCGTAGGAGGTAGGATCTATACTAGTTTTTCAGGCGAGAAGAAAAAAATATTTACTGAAGAAGACGTTAACTCTATGGCGGAGGATTTGGTGAGATAAAGTGGATTAATTTATTAACTAAACTAAAAACTTTCTAGATAAACATGGACCCGTATATTTTGAATTTTGAAATTACGAACTATAAAACTTTAATATGCAATGATATAACTGATTTTAACTCTGTAAAATTTGGAAATAAATCGATTAAGATTTTTCAGTTGAACATTTGTAGCGTTAGAAAAAACTTGGATACATTGTTAATCTTATTGTCACAACTTAAGGTGAAATTTGATGTCATAGTAGTCATAGAGACATTTTTATTAGAAAACACAGATATCTTGGGCATGGATGGGTACAATCTGCTATACAACGGTGGCAATATAAATAAGAACGACGGTGTGCTTGTTTATATTAGTAGTAAATTCACTTATCAGTATCAGATTAAACTCTTGTCAAATATGAAAATTCTTGATATTGACATCATTGGTACTCAGAATAACTCATTTAAACTAACCGCTTTATATGTATAGACCTCCATCAACAGATTTTGATACTTTTAATACAGATTAGTTAAATTATATACCTAGCTCTTTCACCAAAAACGGATATTCATGTAATTTGTGGTGATACTAATGTCAATATTCTGGAGGAAAAACAGGATCTAAACCATGTACAAAACTACCTTAACTTTTTCAGTGCAAATTCATTTATTTTTTATATTAATAATGTTTGTACTTGGGAGAGAAACATGCAAAAATCCTGTCTAGATCATTATTTCCTAAAATCTAATTGTGGTGAAGATGTAAAGGCATATCTGCTTAAATTCAAAATCACAGATCATTTTCCTATAATACTAGAAATAGATAATCAACAAAATACCAACTCTAATAATTTTAAAAAATGCTATAAAGAATATATTAATTACAACCAATTAAAACGGGACTTTGAAAGAGTGAACTGGGACTCATTTTATGCTTGTCAGGATTTAGATGACATGACAAATATTTTGATAAGTAATATAGTTAATACTACTCAAAAAAATACCAAAAAAGTTAAAATTAATATACTGTTAATCTCTAGAAAAGGATGGATTAGCAAGAATCTTGTTAAAACAATCAATAAAAAAAATGAATTGTACCAAAATCTTAAAGCATTTCCAAATAATTTAACAATAAAACAAAACTACAATAGATGTAAAAGGAGTCTTGCTAAGTCTATTGCCGATTCAAAAAAAAAGTTATTTCGAACAGTTAACAAGAAATAAACAAAATAGTAAACAACTATGGGACTCTGTCAACAGAGTTTGTAACAACAATAAAAAACATCAAGAAATGAATAAAATCAAATATGAGGACGTTGAAATAACAGATAAAAAAGAAATTGCAAACAAATTTAATCAGTATTATTGCTCTTTGGGTGAAACACTTGCTAATAAAATTCAGAGGCCAATAAACTTTGTTGACTCGGTCTCAGAACCTGATCTTGAGAACAGCATGTATTTAAGTTATACAACCGAGCAAGAAATAAAAAAGATAATTAAAAGTTTAAAATTGAAAAATCTCCTGGTTTTGACGGCATTCGTTCTGAAATTCTAAAAGAAATTGTTGATTCAATCTCTCTTCCATTAAGCTTCTTGATCAATAGATGTATCAGAAAAAACTACTTTCCAAGGCCTCTTAAAGTTGGTGTAATCTTTCCGTTATTCAAAAGTGGAAGTAAGGAACATATTGCAAACTATAGGCCAATTTCGCTGATATCAAATCTTGGGAAAATTTTTGAAAAGATCTTGGAATATAGGATGCTAAAGTTTTTAAAAAAATATAAACTAATTTCTGAAGCTCAGTTTGGTTTCATGGAGGGTAGGTCGACAAAGGACGCAATTGCTAGGCTAACATCGCAACTATACAAAAATATTGATGAAAGTAGTCCTGCATTGTGTGTTTTCGTCGACTTAGCCAAAGCTTTCGATACCGTTTCGCATCAGTTGTTATTGGATAAGATGCAAAAATACGGTTTAAGGGGAAAAATCTTTGAAATTATAAAAAGTTATCTGAGTGATAGAATTCAATACACCAGGGTCGACGATATAGTTAGCGATGCTGGTCGTGTTGGCTATGGCGTACCTCAGGGTACAGTGTTGGTTCCGGTTCTTTTCTTCCTGTACATCAATGGGCTGCTGAGGATGGAGGGTGCTGGGCAGATACTGTCCTTTGCAGACGATACTGTCGTATTGTTTAAAGGTGAAACTTGGGATAGTGTCATAAGACAGGCTGAACGAGAGTTTGATAAAATAAAAAAGTGGTTTGACTATAACTTGCTCACAGTAAATTTCGATAAAACCAAATGTATGTTGTTTTCTAGCCAGGAGCAAGCTACAAAAAACATCCAGGGTATACTAGTCGATAACTTTTTAATACCCACCACAAAATCCATCAAATATTTGGGCATAATAATAGATTGTAACCTTCGTTGGGAATTACATATCAAGTATATTGTTCAGAAATTAAGAGGAATCTTGACAAAATTCAAATATTTGAAAGATTTCATGTCTACAAATCAACTCAAAATTCTGTACTGTGCATTAGTTCAAAGTCATTTAATTTATGGAATTATTGGTTGGGGCGGAGTCCTAAATACACACCTCAAAAACTTAGAGATCATACAAAAGTGGTTTCTGAAAATAATTTTTGGCAAGAGCAGGCTTTTCCCAACTGACTCACTATACCGTTTAAGTGGTGTGATGGATATGCGACAGCTTTTCTGTTACAGAATGGCTTTGAGGTCATTTAAAAAACCAGATGAATGTTTAATTGTGAATGACAGACATTATACTCTAAGAACTATTAACAAAGTTGCAGTACCAAAATGTTCTAAGGCCTGTGGACAGAGAAGCTTTCTATACCTCACACCAAGATTTTTTAATATAGTTCCAAGTGCAATAAAATCTTGTGAAAGTTTAATAAGTGTCAAGAAAAAAATGTCAGAATGGATTTTAAAAGTGTGTTCTCGAGAAGCAATTGACAGTTTTGTGAATCAAAATCAAAGTAGATATTAGGGAAAAGTGAAGCACTAAAACTGCATAGAAGTGGAGCAAAAAACTGCCATACAAATACGTACATTTTTGTGCATATTTCGGCAGAAGACAAGAACGTTTATTTTTACTTCTTTAATTAGTATCAATTGCTTACTTGTACATAACAAAAAAATTGTATTAAATAAACGTCTGAATTATTATTATTATTATTATTTTTATGGAATATACTGAAAAATTATCATTTATATCTTGGTACAAATAAATCTGATATGGAATCCTAATTAAATGTATGACTATTTTGTAAATTCATTCGTGAGAACTGATAATTGCTATAGTAAAATCCATAATTATTATAATAATACACAACAAATTCAAATAAGGAATTCAAATTATTATCTAGTGCTATACATTATATTCGAAGAATGTACTTAAAACATCTCTTTATAGCTAGTCTCTATTAAATTTAACGACGCGTTTGACAATAATTGAAATGTGGCTATGAAACGAGCGCTGAATAGACAGCTGATACACAAAGTTATTAATCGAAATGCACCGAAGGGCGAATCTTAAAATACCTCTACATAAAACATCTCATAAAATTCTATTGAACAAGGCGCCAGACAGGGAGACCCTAAGTCTCTAGACACACTTACACTTGTTCTGAATAAATTGAAAAAAATAGATTGGTTACTAGAAGGTATATCGACATCAATGATGGAGACAAACTTACGCAAACTAGCAACCTCAGCTTCAAGCTAGACTAGATCTGGATTTCTAGAAATTTAGTTAAGATAGAAAGGTATAAATACCTTAATCAACCTATAACAGGCGGTAAAACCTCGGGTAAAACCAACCAAGAGCTAGAGACGATTAAAAAGCAATTGAAAAGTAGCGAATATTGGTTTTAGTGTAGCCTTAACTATGAGTCGTTTAATGTTGTTCCAATAATATTTCAACAACAAATTCCAAAGTACTTTTATAACGTACTTATTTTGGCAATTGCCTAATTATACTGCATACGGCTAGTCAGCATCAGTCCGGAGGCCATGGGTCTATGGGTTCCTTGTATACATCTTACCTTTGGGCGCCACCAAGTTAAATGTGACTTAACTAGGAAGATTACTTATTGATGTTATAACAAAACTTGTACAATTGGAGCGCTTAACAATAAAACAACTAACTAGGTACAATAATGTATCTGGCTTTCTTTATTAAAAAATAATAACAATAATAATAAGGCGCCAAAAAGTGTAGCCACCAAGTAATTAGGACTTAAGTAGCCACGAAGTTATTAAAAAAAAGGTGTTTAGGATTAGGCTTGTACCTAATTTGTGAATATTTGAATAAATAAAAAAATGTAAATAATGAATATATGAATTTAAAAATAAACAGTTTTAACTGTTTATTAACACTTGTGGAAGATTAAAAAAAAAAACAGTATGGGTTACACTCTACCAACAGGCAAATTTAACACAGAAAGGTGAAAGTTATTCTTTGGGCAACCTCAGGGTAAAATTCTAGAATTTTATTTAAGGGGCACTTACCGAACCTAATTCAGTATCAAGTGATTTACCTAGGATTTGCCTATATAGTAAAAAGTGTAACTTACATGTAATACAAGTGTTTGTTATCTTCACATGTATGTGTAAGTCCAGAAGTTCCAAGAGTGAGGTTAGCTACATGTTTGGTCTCACTGTAGATAGACAATGGTATGATAAGTGAGTCATGAGTCCTAACCACGTGGTATCTGTTTTACGTAGAACTCAATGTGGTTCTAGCAGAGCGGTACCAATAGAGTTGCTGAATAAAGGCTACCAAAACCCCAACTGAGAGCAATCTAGATCCAGTCTAGAATCTCTCTAAATACAGCTTAGCAACTGTCCAACTATAGCCTAAGACTGTCTAGCTACAGCCTAGCACTAGGAGTAGGAGTAGGA